GCTGATTTGGTAGTTATAGCACTCAGCCTGAATGCTTTGCTGCGGGATCCGATCTCTCTCTCGCATCAGTTCCTGGGCATCCGCTAAAGCATGCGCTTATACTCCGCCAAGTTTCTTAGGCTAGCATTTCTTTGGAAGTGCATGGAAAAAAAGCTGAGGGAATGCTGACTTAATACAAATCATCCTTGCAGCAGAATTTGATTTTGAATCATGGTCTCAGGTCTTCCAGGTGAGCCAAAAACACAGAGTGAGCAGCCTGTGGAGCACTTCTGCTGGATGCTCTATATCATCTGAATTTTTAGGCTTTTACTCTTCATTCTAGGCAGCATTACCTCTATGCATGCTTGCTATTCTCTGCTTCTCACAGCACAGACTTCCCCATAGTATAGGAAAATTCTTTGCCATTCACCTTTTTGTCTACTGGATACAAGGAAGGGAAGAGTAGGACAGGGAAAGTTTGCATAAAACACACTCCTACCATGCCTGGCTGACAGCAGTGTTATTACTTACCCTTTCATGACAGCCACAATCAGTTAAACACAAAAACAGACTTGCATTCTTCCTTTATGCACTCAGAAAAGGAAATCCACATGTTTATATTCAAAATCCACATTCAAATATACCATTGGTCACATCTTACCATTTGACTAATGCCAAAGTATGTTCTTCAGGAAACAACATATAGCCAGATGCGGGGATACATTTGCACTGAAAGCCAAATGGAGTGTGAAAGGCCAAATACATTTGCAGGAAAACCTCCTCTCTACCCAATGTCCTGCTGCTCCAACAGTCCTTCACGCCACCTTGGAGGTTTCTGCAATGGGAGCGTAACACACTGGTGCTCTGACAAAACTACACAAATTCACTTCATTCACATCGCTGCTGCAGCTTGGCATGCAGGGCTGTTTCTGCACCAACTGAAGAAAATATACAACATTTTTCCAACTGTAAGTGAGGCTGCAGCAGGCGTGCAGTTCTATCCTGGTTTAACCTGGCTGAGGAGCTAAAACTGAACTTTTATCTTTCAAAATAAGATCCCTCCCATTCACTTACAATATTTTACTTCCCAATTCCAAAGGCTGCTGCTCACTGAACTCTCTTTGAGGCTGCTTCACACTGTATCTCTGTGTGCTTAAATCAAGACTGATTTTACAACCCCTCCCCTGGGACACTGCAGAGGAACAGCAGAAGTGGTCCTGTTGATTCCAGTACCAGCAGGCAGTCATTTCCAGGGCTTGGTAAGATCTTTCCTGCTTTTCCGATGGAATCTAGCCATGGAGCTTTGACTCTGACAACATTCAGTTCTTTTCTTTTGTCTTGGCCCATGAGAACAGATCGATCGACAATGTTTTAAGTATTTGCAAGAGCTTTTGCATTAAAAGCTGATTCCTTTAAAAAAGATTGCTGTGTTATTGTATTTACAGTATTCTAGCTCACAAAAATGCTACTGCTGCTGTCTCAGGCTATGGTCTAGCATCATAGATGTTCCCTTTCTTAAAATGGAGGAAATGATCAGAGCACCATTATCCCTAGCTGGGAATAACAGAACTCTATTTCATAAATAGCATGGGTTTTAAAGTTGGTGGGCTGCATTTTTTCATTTGGTAAGAGGATCCAAATTGACCCACGGCATGTTTTTTCTCAACAGTCAAAAAATACACCTTTACTTTAAATATTTTAATTTCACCAAATATCAAAAGGAGGAAGGATTCAATGGCTGGAATCTATAAATCTGTTCTCTAGTGTTTAAAACCTGTAATTTTGTTCGGTGTTTTTATGGTACTGCATACCATACTGTACTACAAAAGTCAAACAACTCATCAGAAAGGATCCAATTATAAAGAACTGTAAACAAATTGAAATGCTTCACACTTACCATTAATTTCACATACCTTGAGCTCTGCTGAACTACTTCTCTACTTATAAGTGCATTTTAAAAACTCAGACTCAGTCTTGTATCATCTGAACAATTTGTGTGGGAAAGAAATGAATTAAACAGGAACAAAAAACTGCACCATTTGTCACTGACACTTGAAACTTAAAACTAAAATTTATTTTCTTCCAGAATGCTGCATTATAACAATGGTTTTCTTTTTAGTGTGAAAGCACTGATGTTTCTCTTACATTATAAAACAACTTTGGACAATTGGAGCTTCTCAGGCTGGCTATCAGATAGCATGTCTAATAAAAGGTAGTGTATGGGGACCAAGCTGTTTCTCTTCTACATAAAACCTCCTTCTACTTAGTGTCAATAAAGCACAGGACCTCATGTATTTCTGGGCACTTACTGCATTTCTCAGGTGAGTGAAGTAATTCAGGCTTCAACCTCCCAGATCATCCCCAGATCGCTGAGGGCATTGAACAACCCAGGAACAACCTGTCTGAATGTCACCGCTCAGGTACGATGCCTGGATGACAGATCACGCCGTAGAAAACACTGCTCTGCTCGGGGCTAATCTGGACCAAGCGTTACCCACAGCCAGGACAACCAGACAAAACAACTAGTGCAAGCAAGTAGACTACGGTGCTATGAAGAAATGTACGAGTTTTATTTTTAACATCGCTGGACTGAAAAATAGAGAGTCATATGGCTTGTTTATATTTCAGGAGATGGTAGTGAATAAGTTAAAAGAATATTTCATCCCAAAACATAGGTTGCTTTCATTTATACCTAAGCTAATGTACACATATGCTTTCTTATTTTCATAAATGCCAAGCACCCACCTTTTTCTCCCACAAAGATTTACAAGTACATGCATGGCACTTCCTACAACACCATTGTGGGCTAAAGGCTTACAAACAATGATTTTTTTTGAACAAGAAATATTCATCAAACCAAAATAAAATCATTTAAATCAACTTCTTCCTGAGCAACTTAGAATTTGGAATGTGCTGAAAAGTTTCAATAAATAAGTCAAAGATTAACCAGCTTTAAACGTACCTTTTAACAATTAACTAACATATAATATATTTAATGACAGACAAATGGGCTGTAGGACCAGGAATCTTAGAAGCTATGTGCCAAATAAATTCATGAAGTACCATTCAGGGAGGAGAGGCCGGGCTGATTGGTAGGAAAAATACAGCAACATTAAACCTAGCAAGTAAATCATTAAACTGTTTTTTTTTTTTTTTTTTTTTTTTTTGTATTTAGGCTATAAAGTAGTGATGGCTGAAGATACCTTTAAATAAACAGATAGACTTTACTGTAAGCAGCAGTGAACTTGCAGGAAGGGTGAATGCGTGAAGTGACTGATTATTCTGTTACAACATTGGCAAAAAGGATTCAAACAGAATTTTCTGAAAGGTGAGAATATTAATTTTCTTTTCAAAATATAACAGTTCCACAGTGTGTAAACTAATCATTACTCTTTCAATGTAATTTCATAGAAACCACTTAAAATATACAATGCAGCAGATTCATATTTTAGCTAACATGTTAGTTGTTATCTGTGCCATTTCCAGCTTTCTTTAATGTGTTCCCTCATGGTAGTGCATTGGTACCATGAAACTTTTAATAATGAGAGCAGAATCTTCTCCGTAACATTTTCTGTAAAATAGCATCTTGCCTTAACACGATTATACTTCGGTATTTAGTCCTCTGCATGTAAGTACAGTAAAGACTCACTGGTGATAAGGATGGTCCATAATGTCTATGTGTTACCAGCAGGGTCATGGAAGAGGAAACCCTTGGGAAGCACACCCGAGCTTAGCTCAGGTTTATGGCCTCATCCATCACAAAATAACTTTTGCTTTTTAGTCCAAACCAAAGGAGTGATTATCTTGCAGACAGCATACACACTGCTGAGACAGCCACACGATAGAGCAGAAATTGACTCGAGTTAGATACAGCTGTATTACCCCAGAGGTGTTACTGGGATTCATCCTGACAAGGTGCTGCCATCCTTCTTTCCTGTTCTCTAGGAAAGGATTTATTGCTGCTGCCCCTCTGGACAACAAGGGTGCTCAGGAAGCCCATGCTTCCCAGAGACCCCGTTGCCTCCCCTGTTCTGATGTGGAGGACATGGCCAGGGAGCCCTGCCTGTCCCGCCCAGGATCACCTTAGGCACAACAGCAGGTCTCTCATTGCAGCTCTGCCCATTTCGCCTCCCAGCCTCACCAGCCCACCTCCTAGTGTTGACTGATAACACGTGTAGTGATTAGGTAACTGTTCACAGTGAATCTCCTAACAACATGTCATTGATTTGACTTTGGTGTTACACAACATCGCTTTTTTCTTTTTCCTTGTTTTATCATTTTGACATATTTAAACCTGAAAAGCTGTCTATCTTCATATTGCTAATTTTCTTATAGCCATATTAGAAGCATCTGGTGCTTGTTGGTATCTGGTGGGGTGGCTGCATTCTGCTTCAGCTGTGAAGAATTAAATTCTAAGACCACAGAAATATTGCTTGTGGTATTAAGATGTTCCAAATCATGTAAGTTTCTTAGGTGACATTTTTCACTCTTCATATTTGTAAACCATAGCAACAGTAATGACCTACAAATAATTTTCCTGAAGACAAAAACCATAAACTGCACCTTTTCCATTACAGCCTAATAGAACTGCACTGAGCTGCAGAAGCAAAACTCTGCAAATCACATAACGCTGCCTTGCAAGCTTTCCATCCATTCTCGCCATTCACTGACCCAGTAACTTTTTCCACTCACGGGTTCCCCAGAAACATCTAGTTCCTGTAACTTGCCTTCTTTCCAATAATTAATACTCATTTGCCAAAACAGTATGCTTGCTCCTCCTACAGACAGTTATTCAGAAACCACAGTCTAATCCACTTTTGAGTCTGTTGTCCTTTGAAGTGCAGACAGTAGCAATGGTTCTCACCATACCCCTAGAGCACCAGCGTTGTCTAATTAGAAATAGGCACTCTGGGCTCACTAACTTCTCATTTCTGGTTGTGAATGCTGCAGTATTATGCAATGATGACTTGTTTCTGGAGAGAGATGAGAAGTCTGTAAAATTCGTAATGCTGCCCAATCTATTGTGTTTTGCTGGTGCCCAGAGCACTACTGCACACTCCAAAAGTTATTTTGTGATGAGACTGTACATAGTTCTGTCTTAAACTATGTTCCAGACAAGATTCTATGGAGCCAAGACAGTATGATATAATCAAACCCGCAAAAACAGGTATCTCCCAATTTCCCCAACACATGGGAATGTTCTCTTTTGTTTCATTTTAAACACTGCTGCTCATGAAACTCAGTTCCTTAAGGAATTACTTTTAATAATAATTAAAAAAATCTTAAGAAAGCTGAAGGGGTCACCAGAAGAGAAGGATGGCTCTTGCTTTCATCACCTTTTATAGATATCCTCTAGCCATTTTTCATCATCTTCCTCATCATCTATTGGTTCTTCTGTTTCCAGGGGAGAAGGAATGAAGAACTCGGGTCTGGGACGTGGTTTCCTGATATGAGACTTGAGTCCAAACTTGCGCTTTAGTAGGTGAAACTGTTCTTTGACATAGTAATAGAACTCGTATTCATATCTCATGCGCTGGTAGAGGATCTGTATGGCTTCTGGAGAAGGGACGGTCTTTTTCACTGTCACAGTCAAATTGCCAAGTTTCCTATGTTCTATAAAAAAAAAATAAATAAATACATGATAGATGTTGAAAAGAGACCATACCTAAAACCTTTTTTTGTTTTGTTTTTTAAAGGCATAGCTACTATATTATTGATAAAAATTGAGCTCCATTTGCCTCCTTAATAATTTATTTACTTTTACTGAGAGATGAAAAATAAAAGGAGTTTGAAGTTAGACTTGCATGTTTGAATATGGCTAGTCAATAGTATTTGACATTGCAAACAGTCAACTCAGGTTCTTAACTGGCAGTGGTTATCTAATGCACATTAGGTCATGCCAATTACAAGCATAAACCATATAGAGAGGAACACATAATCTTGCCTAGCGTGGCAAATTTTGCCTGATTGAACAGATATATATTTATTTGACTCCATCTTGGGCTAGCATCAAAACATTGCTGGCATCACTAGATGACACCTCTCGGGAATGTACCCGCTGACTTTGTCATCTGGTTATACCTATTAATTAAGCTAGACCATCTTCCTGCTGCGTCCTGGGACTGGAAAACTGGAGTCTGGAGACAACTTTTGTCTTCGTAAATTGAAATAAAACATCTCTACTGTTGATAAAGTAATAAAGTGACTAACAAAAATATTGCATCGATTCCTCTCTTTGCCTCTTTTCTCTTCCTAGATTATTCCAGCATTGAAGGGTAAATATAAATGAATAAGCATGTCACAGAACAAACACTTTAAACAATTGTTTTTCTGTTTTCATCCAGATAGCAACAGGCTGATGGAACATCCCAAGAAATTTCTTCTCCAAGATAGAGAAGTAACTGAAAGCCAGTCTGGAAAACAGTAAAAGCTTCATAAACATTACTGATCATAAAGCTCTTAATATGAAAGTACTGACCTGTAGAATTCCTGTTTTCTCCCAAGCCCTACACCTTTCTTTAGAAGCAGAGATGAATCTTAGATTGATGAAGTAGTCCCTGTAATTAATCAGGGTTTCTGAAACTTCACTGCTCCAATACAGTAGACCTCATGTGTTACTCTCACAGAACGTGACCCATATGGAAATTTTCACAACATCTTTAGAATACATCTGTGTCCAGACAAAGCAAGAGGAATGGGCTTGTATGGAACCAAGGAGATGCCAACTGGACATTAGCTAAAAGCTTTTTTCATGGCAAGGATAGTTAAACAGCGCAAAAGAGTAAAGGTGTTATGAAACATATACCTCTGGAGGATTTTTACACCAGATTAAGAAAAAAATAATCAGAAAATGGAATAAAGACAGTGGATTCTCTCCTGAGGGAAGTCACTAGACTAGAAAACATCTTACGGCTGTTTTCCATGATTTTAAAAATCATGGAAAGATTCATAGAATCTTTCTCATCCTTATCTACTTCCTTGCTTTCTTCTACAATAGCAAGGTTTGCAGGATAACTGCTTTTTTTTGTTTTGTTTCAGGAAGTTACTTGGCTTCTGCTCCCAATTCTTTCCCTGGTACTTATATCCTCTGTGCTGTTCCAAATGCCAGTCATAAATCCTCATATTCTACATGGCCATATAGATTAACTGTTGTAGTGAAAAAAAGCAGGATTTTGACATGCAAGCCTACTTATTACTGTAATAACAATTCTCACTGTACGTTTGGAGGAACACAAAGGGGTCTGGCCCCAAAGCATGACAAAGAAAGAACTTACAAGAAGAAAGCAGACAACAGAGAACATTTCATATGTCAAGATGGATTCTGCTCTGTTGATCAGCGTCAAAAAGAGGGAAGAAAATAGGTAGGTGCCTCCCTTTGACAGTGTGTTACTGCCTGAGGAGCAGCACACCTGTAAGCACAAGGAATCCTACCATGGACAGCTCAACACTGGGTGATGCCACTTCTGGGGCACCACTGTGCTGTTAATAGCAACCACCAGCACTTCTAGCAAACGTCCCTGAATTGAAATAGTATTTTGACATGAGCAGCATTTTGCTTAGGTGCCCAGTCTGCACTGAGGTCTTCAGAGCACTTGCGTGCAAAGCGAAACATGTGCGTAGCAGCTCTACTGAGCAGCAAGTTTCCACAGTTGCTTACACACAAGTTGAAAGCATACATCCATAGCTCCTGTTAGGAAAAGTGAGTTGTTCTCGAGATTCCACAAGTTTTATATTCATCCAAAAGAAAATCAAGAAAAAATTTTAAGGGAAGAGAAGATTTTTTAACCAAAGGCAAAAACAGCAAGGCTTTTGACACCATCCCTCATAACATCCTCCTGAGCAAGCTCCGTAAGTGTGGGATACATGAGTGGACAGTGAGGTGGATTAGGAACTGGCTGGATGGCAGAGCTCAGAGGGTGGTGATCAGTGGTGCTGAGTCTAGTTGGAGGCCTGTAGCTAGCGGGGTCCCCCCGGGGTCAGTCCTTGGTCCAGTCCTGTTCAATTTATTCATCAATGACCTGGATGAAGGCACGGAGTGCTCCCTCAGCAAGTTTGCTGATGACACGAAACTGGGAGGAGTAGCCGATACCCCAGAGG